GCGTCAACATCGCCGGGGGGGTGCTGACGGGGGGAGGTGAGAAGGTGGAAAGGAGAGGAGAGCGGAGACCCAGGAGAGCGAGAGCGAGAGCGAGAGAGAAGGTTGAGGGAAGAGCGGAGGGAGGAGGGAGGCAGGGAAAGGAGCAGAGACTGCGGCCCGGCCCGCCGTTAACCCCGAGGGGAGAGCTGGGAGCCGGAGCCGGAGCCGAAGCCGGCGCAGGGAGGCGGCCGCCTGCGCCGGGGACTGTCAGCTCCGCACGATGCACCTCCGGCTCTTCTGTATCCTGCTCGCTACGGTCTCCGGAGCCCAGGGCTGGGGCTACTGTGAGTGCGGGGCTCGGATACAGGCGAGGACGGGCCGGGGAGCTCAGAGCCTGCAGGGCGGATCCCGCACCGCATTGCGGCGGGGTGGTCGCGGGCCCCTTCCCGGCAGGCGCGCGCCCGCTCCTGCTCATCCTTTCCAGCCTCTCCCCCGCGCTCCGCAATGCAGCTCGGAGGCTGGCTGGCGCGCGCAGCCGGGCTAGGGCTGGGCTTCCAGCGGAGGATGGAGTCCGGCAGGGCGGGGACGTGGGGCCGGGCTGCCAGCGGGAGGAGGGTCCAGTTAGGGATGACCGGGGCTAGGCTTAAGGCTTTGCCAGGGTCTGGATTGGCCTCTGGAGCCGGCCCCAGGGCTAGGGTTTGGGGCTGGGGTTGGGTTTGATGGCATGTAAGCAGATTCTGGTGACAGTGCTGTCTGGCTGGGACGGGACCAAGGCCTGAATTGGAGCTGGCAAGGGAGGGTTTGGGGGCTAGTGAGTGGCCCTGTCCTTAAGGCCCGGCCTGAAATGGTGTCCTGCTTGTGATGTATGCTGACCTTTGGCATTGGGTTGAGGGCAGTAAAATCCCCTGGATCCCCAAGGGCAGGAACTGAACATGGAAGGGACTCGCAGTTAGGTCCCCTGGGCTAGTCTGGGAATTCCCCTGGAGGAGAAGGCAGCCTCCGCACCGACCCCCCCCCCCTGTGTCTGTTGTTTTAGGTGGGGGCTGGCCTCGCCCATGAGGGTCTGAGAAGAGGGAACTCTGGCTGCCTTAGTGGGCTGAGCTTTGGGGAGGCCTGGGAGGGGCCGATCTGACCATAGTGTCCATTTCCCCACCCCTCCAACCCCAGATGGCTGTGACGAGGAGCTGGTGGGACCCCTGTACTGGCGCTCACTGGGTGCTTCTTCCTACTACGGGCTCCTCACGGCGCCTCGCTTCGCTCGTTTGCACGGTGAGCGGGTGCACCCGGCGGCGGGGTGGGGTGCTTCTGAGGGCTGGGGAAGGGCAGCATGCCAACGGTAAAGCCCTTGTCCTGCAGGCATAAGTGGATGGTCACCCCAGATCAAGGACCCGAATCCCTGGCTCCAGATAGATCTAATGACGAAGCACCGGATCCGGGCCGTGGCCACGCAAGGCTCCTATAACTCGTGGGACTGGGTCACACGCTACATGCTACTTTATGGAGACCGCGTGGACAGCTGGACTCCATTCTACCAGCGAGGCCATAACGCGGTACTCGAGCTCCCTAGAACTCTTGGGGCGTCCCCTGGGGCTCGCACCGGCAAGGCAAGGGTGGAGGTGGCGAGTCCACAGATGAGGTCCACTTGCCACCGTTCTGGGGACTCAGGCCAGCATGGCTGTCAGGTCACCTTGTGTGCATGTGCAGGACAGCCCACGACCAAAGCATTTAATAAACCATAGTGGTTGGGCTGCTAACCACAAAGTCAGCAGTTCAAAACCACCAGCTGCTCTGCTCTACCCCGGCAGAGTGACAGTCTAGGAAGCTCACAGGGCCAGTTCTACCCTGCCCTATAGGGTCGCTATGCGTCGGAGCAGAATGAATGGCAGGGAGGTTTCTTGTTTCTTTTTTTCTTTCTTTTCCTTTTTTTATTTTTTGAATCAGAGAGCTTCCGGAAGGAAGGGTCGTTACCATGGCGCGGGATCAAAAGAGTAGGCCAGTGGGAGAGGGCACGTCCAGCTAGGGAACCTGTTCCCAAGGCCACAAAGGCAGCGTTTGCCCTCCCCAAAGTCAAGGTGGAGGCCGCGGGGAGATGAAGCCGCGGGGGGCGGGGGGGGCGTCATCCCTCCCCTCGCCCCTGCAGACCTTCTTCGGGAACGTGAACGAGTCGGCGGTGGTGCGCCACGACCTGCATTTCCATTTCACCGCGCGCTACATCCGCATCGTGCCGCTGGCCTGGAACCCGCGCGGCAAGATCGGCCTGAGGCTCGGCCTCTACGGCTGCCCCTACAGTAAGCGGCGTCGGGGCGCTGGGTGGCGGCGGCGGCGGCGGGGGCGGTGTCCCCGTAACCCACAATCTCCTGACACACTCAGAGTCCGACGTACTCTATTTTGACGGCGACGACGCCATCTCGTACCGCTTCCCAAGAGGGGCCAGCCGGAGCCTGTGGGACGTGTTCGCCTTCAGCTTCAAGACGGAGGAGAAAGACGGGCTGCTCCTGCACACAGAGAGCGCGCAGGGCGACTACGTGACGCTGGAGCTGCAGGGGGCCCAGCTGCTGCTGCACATGAGCCTGGGTGAGCCTCCACCGCTGCCTCAAGCCGTCTGGGTTCCAGGCTCTGCCACCCACTTGGCCTGTGACCTGGGACGAAGCGCTTCCCTAAGCCTTCCTTTCCTCAGTGTCCTTGTCGAACCTAATGCTCTACTTGCTCCTACCAGCTGGGAGATGTAGCCGCCCTGCTCCATCTTATCATGCGGATAGGAAAACCAAGGCTCTAATAGGTCAAATGGCCAGTGGGCCGGGTCCCCTGGCTGCCTTGTCAGGCATGCTGGGGGTCCTTGGGGCTCAAGGTTGGACCCTGTCCTACCCCACCCTCAGGCAGCAGCCCCACCCAGCCAAGGCCAGGCCACACGACCATGACCGCCGGAGGGGTCCTCAACGACCAGCACTGGCACTACGTGCGCGTGGACCGATTCGGCCGCGATGCCAACTTCACCCTGGATGGCTACGTGCAGCGCTTCGTGCTCAACGGAGACTTTGAGAGGCTAAACTTGGACAATGAGGTAAGCTGGGCAGGTGCTACAGCGGGGCGTGGTGGGCAGTACCTGCTCTTGCCAGGAGTCCCTAGATTTCCCAAGGAGCTGGCCAACCTGCTCACCAGCGAGGCCCCTGCTTGTTGTTGCTGTTAGCCTTCAAATTCCAGGATGCTACCATCTCAGAACTCCTGGGATGAGGCTGGGCACCTGGGGATTCGACCAGGTGAGAAGGCTTGCCCCCTGGGGTCCTCCCACATCTCTGTGGAGTCGGGAAGACCTTGTCTAGCGTGCTTGGTGGGTGACGTGGCTAGTTCAGGGGTGTGCAGCCCGTTTGTGGTGGACACAGCACCTGACCCCAGACCTGGGGCTGAGCTCTGGGTTGTAATACAGGTGCCTGGGAAACCTGCACGCAGGTGTGCGGGGAAGCTCACGGCCCACCCTGCCCGCAGATATTCATTGGGGGCCTGGTGGGCGCGTCACACAAGAACCTCGGCTATCGGCATAATTTCCGCGGCTGCATAGAGAATGTCATTTTCAACCGCGTCAACATCGCCGACTTGGCCGTGCGGCGCCACTCTCGGATCACCTTTGAGGTCAGTGTGCCGTGGACCTTGGAAGACGGGACCCCAAAGCTGCTTGGGGAGCAGAGAGTGGGAAGAGCATGGGATAAACACCAGGACCCCTCTCCCCACCACCGGTTAGGTGCCCAGGCAGCGGAATATCCCCGATGCCACTTGCTAGGTGAATAGTTGGGGAAATTGGAGGCTGGAGGAACATGGCCAGGCCGGGGCCACAGGCTGTGGCGTGGCTAAGTCAGCGCTTGAACCCAGGACCCTGCATCCTGTATCCTCACCCCACCCCCACTGGGAATTGCTGACAGCGGAGTCCCTGGCCCTAAATCACTTCTGGACTTTGAAGGGGAGGAAAGGAGGGTTGCCTGTGAGCAAGCCAACTTGGTTGAGAAACCTTTTCACAGCTAGACAGATGTGTCCAAGAGAGAAGGTCCAGGTGGAGGGGGGTGGCTGGAAGGGTCTTGACCAGTGGAGACATTGAGTGCTTAGCCAAGGTGCTGGCAGCAGCAAGGCCCAGAGCCAGGGGCACCGGCTGGTGGGCCTGACGGATCTTGGCTGGCCCTTCCTTTCACCCCCAGGGTAAGGTGGCCTTCCGGTGTCTGGACCCAGTTCCGCACCCCATCAACTTTGGAGGTCCTCACAACTTCGTGCAAGTGCCTGGCTTCCCCCGACGGGGCCGCCTCGCTGTCTCCTTCCGCTTCCGCACCTGGGACCTCACGGGGCTGCTCTTGTTCTCCAGCCTGGGGGACGGGCTGGGCCACGTGGAGCTGATGCTCAGTGAAGGGCAGGTCAACGTGTCCATCGCGCAGATGGGTCGAAAGAAGCTTCAGTTCGCAGCTGGTGAGATGGGGGCAGTGGGCGGTGCCAGGAAGCTAGAGAGGGGTGGAGGTAGTAGGCTGTGACCAGAGGCCTTTGCAGACTGGAAGGGAAGGGCAGGACCTCCCCCTCTGCAGGCAGTCCTCTGACCTGGGGGGAAGGTGGGTGTGGCTGGAGGGGGCTGGGAGGCAGGTCTGAGCTGGGCGAAGGACACCTATCACCAAAAGGCGGAGTCTGGAAATGCCTCCGTGTCAGCGGGTCCCTGGACGTGCTCGGTATTTGCTTGTGACTTTGCAGCCTGTGTTGGTCGCAGGGGTTGTGGATGGATGAGGACCACAAATGCTCAGAGACGTCACCTCTCCGTGTGATGCGTGCAGCAATGGGGGCGTGTCACATACACCGCTGTTGGGGTCTCTTGTGGTGGGGTGGCTGCTATCCCTTGTAAGACACCCTTTGTCTGTGGTCACCTCCCCCCCCACCCTTATCCCTTCTCATCCAGGGTACCGCCTCAACGATGGCTTCTGGCATGAGGTGAATTTTGCGGCACAGGAAAACCATGCTGTCATCAGTATCGATGATGTGGAAGGGTCAGAGGTCAGGGTCTCGTACCCACTACTGATCCGGACAGGGACCTCATATTTCTTTGGAGGTAAATGGGGACCCACCTGGCCAGATCCACTTGGAAGGGGAAGGGGCAAAATGGAGAGTTGTGGCCCGAGCCCCATCTCTTCCTTCACGCCTGGGGTCTCCCTCGAGGGGTGCCTCATGAGGGTCCTTGTTCCAGGGTGTCCCAAGCCAGCCAGCCAGTGGGGCTGCCATTCCAACCAGACTGCATTCCATGGCTGCATGGAGCTGCTCAAGGTCGACGGCCAGCTGGTCAACCTGACTCTGGTGGAGTTCCGGCGCCTCGGGCACTTTGCCGAGGTCCTCTTTGACACATGCGGCATCACGGACAGGTAAGCAGAAGTCCCCTCGCTACAGGGTGACCCCTTCAAAGTCCTCTCCCCACCATGCCCCGGGAAGAGTGAGCTTTCTCTCACTCTCTTCTGCCTTCCCCTTTGTCTCAGCTCCTCGGTCTCCCAGGTGGAGACCGTCCCTCCTGGACCTCTCACCTCCCATTTCTTTCCTTCAAATGACCACATGTTCAGGATCAGAAGGAAGCACCTGCTTTGGGTCCCGGGACT